TAGTTTCGCTTTCACAACGAAACACACGGCGGGCTTGAGTGAGCGGCGGCCGGCGTATTCGACGAAGGAGCGGCCGGTGGGCTTGCAGAAACCACATGTGACGACCCCGGGTTGGACTCCGCTTCATCCACGGTGAAAGCCGATCCGGCGATCCACAACACAAAATTTATGTCACTGCCAAAACTTTTGGCCATGACTGTAGACACAGATCTGGATTGTGAATCTGCACACATGAATCCATTTCTGTTTTGTCCCCACCACTTTATGAAAGCGCTCATGACAGTGATGTATCTAATAAAAAATAAGCATCTCCAGTTGTTGCTCTGATGCATCACCATCACAGCGCATCCTGTTCAGATACACCAACATCTGTGAAACATACAGGAAACACTTTCACACATCTCACACAGACATAATAAAGGACAATGTTATGTTGAAGTGCTACCTGTGGAGTAATAGTCCAGAACAGGGTCTTTGCAGAAGGATTTGTATTTCCAAGTGACCATCACATTCTGCAGCTGAGCTGAGGTGGAGTAATCACAGCGCAAGGTGATAGATGCAAAAAGAGTTGAACGTTTCTCTGTCTCAGACAGGGTGACCTGGATAGACAGAATCCCTAAAAGAATGGAAGTGAAAGTGTGTGTGTGTGTGAGAGAGAGAGAGAGAGAGAGAAAGAGAGAGAGAGAGAGAAAGAGAGAGAGAGAGAGAGAGTTGGTTAACACAGAAACACAGGCTGCCAAACCTGTAAAACTGGAAATGAGACAAAGAGCAGGCAATTCTTCACTGGTTCCAGACAAATTCAGTATCAGTATCAGTGTCCCAACAAGTTTGTAAAGAGAAATGTGCAGCAAAATATTTGTGGTAAGTCATTTCTTTTAATCTCTTTGTTTTCAAATAAAATTTCAGTCATGATCCTTTAGCACTGCATTTGTATGTGTTTATGTTATTTATGTTTTTCATATCTCTATTCTCTTATTTTTGTTTCTCTAGATTCTATATTTTCTTATTCTTTATTGCTTTTTAAAACATGTATACCCCATCAATTCAATGTTTGTACATGTTTTTAAACGGATTTTTTTTGTGTCAACAAACATTGGTCACATGACCGATACGGACGCGTCCAGGTGACACTTTTACCTGTTTCCATTGATCTGCCTTCACAATGTCATTGTACTATTGGCTTTCTCGCGGTGAAATGGAAAGATGCGTGTGTGTGTGAGATGTTCTGTGTGAAGATCAGGCTCACCTGAGGTCAGGTGAATCAGAAGCAGCGCCAACACGATCATCCGCCTCATGATGATCTGATGAAACTCCAGCAACCTCGAAACGAACCAGCGCGAGTGTAACTATGATGAAAGTGACGGATGAGCAGCTCAGTCAAAACAGTATTTTATCAGACGCTTTAACGTTTAGCTGTGTCTTTCTCAGAGGCCGGTTTGTGTTTCATCATCATCTACTCCACCCCAAAACAGATACCTAGCGCAAATGTGCACAGGTAACATTCTTCTTCTTTGGGTTTTAACGGCAGCTTGCATCCTTGGTGTTGAATTACCGCCATCTTCTGGAGCTATAGTATAAGTAACTGTAGTTACTTCCCATGTATAGCATCTTGTTTTTCATACTCTTGATAGGCCTATTAGTCCCGTTTTGTTTTAGTCAGAAAGCAAATCAAATATTTAATTCCTTTCCCGCTCCTACTGCAATCCACTCCACTCCCTGTTAGTCCCATGTCTTTTATCATGACCATCTGTTTATGTAGCACTTTGAGCATAAAACAAGAGGCCGACACGCAAGATTATATGTATAATACCGTGATAAATAAATGAATAACAATAGATGAATAATAGCAAGTAGAATATGTAATATCAAGGGTGGAATAATACAGAATAGACAGTAATGAAGAATAAATTAATAGTAAATTATAAAGTAAAATAAATAATCATGAAATGTAGTTTTATAATAGTATTGTGTAATTATTATTTATATTTATTATGTCTATGGTGGAAACGACCATTGAACAAAAGAAGAAGAAAGAAACAGCATGGCGCGCTTTTTCTTAGCGTCCGTTTCCATAGCGACTCGTCGATTCGTCACTCTGTTGAGAATGTCTTGAGTCTTAACCAGGAACATACTCTAATGAACTTACTCCCGGGCGCGTTTTTGGAACCACATACCTCGAGTAAGCGAGGTTTGGGGTTAATCAACCGAAAGTTCAGGGTTTAGCTGACGGTAAGTTAACCGTGCTTTCTGGAATACACCCCAGCTCAGCAACTGTATTGAAAACAGACAGCCAGAACTAAACAGGCAAAAGCAATCGGATGCCGATTCCATGATCTATTACATCCCGTAACACCATCCTTTGTAGTTCATAATTTGCGCAATAAGTACATGTTCTACAGTCTCAAGAACGCACAGCAATCCACTAAACTTAATTAAAACAAATGCCTTTATGTAAACACACTTATACGTTTTCCTCATTGTCTTTTCTTACAGATACCTCTTATCACTCACACAAAACGATCACTGTAACGTGTGCTTTAAGAAGGAAATGTCTTTTTAATATGTAAAAATTAATATCTGAAATGTCTGATATGATCTCTGAGGCAGCAGCTCTTAAAAACTGAGAAAATGAATATAACCAGTAAAAATAACTTTTTCTAAAAATAATTTTTCAAACTGTTCAACAGCGACACCAGTTTCAGATGGATGAATAGAGTAATGTTTTATAGGCACAACCCATTTTACTCCTAGAGAGGTTCCGCTTTGTTAGTTTGGGATCATGTATTCTGAGTCTTACATTAGCCTCACTGCTGGTGTTTGATAAGCCAGCAAATGTAAAGTGCTGTGTGCTCTAGAAAAGATGGTCTAACTCTTTATCATGATTTTCACTCGACGTAAGAACACATGCTTTGAAAGAAATAAATTCAGTCTATGCCAGTTCAATCCAAACTCGCACATACGTTCTAAGGATCCAGTCAACCCGAGAGGAATCAGAACTGAAGGTGACATTCAAAGAAAATGGAGAAGCATTTTACAACATAAACTCATTCTCTCACCACCAGAATGCATAAACGACAAAACTTTTATGTGAATACATTCAAATAAGTTAATATCAACATCATAAACAATATTATTGTTCTGGTTGTTTGATCGTTTCAGGCACATTTGTTTTTCACACAGGCCTCAGATCAGTAGCCTGAAGCTCTGTTCAGTTGTGGATGAAGTTCCTCATGTCTCCAGCAGATGGTGTCAGTGTCTCAGTGACGATAATCACTGATCTCTGGCCCTTAGATGACTGAAATGGATCCTTAAATCTGTGGAGCTCCAGCGTCTCAAATCCATGCTTGAAAAAGTACAGATACCTTATAGCAGAGGTCCCCAACCACCGGGTCATGACCCACTACCGGGCCGTGGAAGAATTGCAACCGGGTCGCAAGAATGTTCTGGGAAAAATGTGTAAAGATATGACGCTCTGTTATTTATTTATGTTAATGATTGTTCTAATTATTCTGTATTCCCTGCTGGAAAAAAAAACAGCTTAAACCAGCCTAAACTGGTTGGGTGGTTTAAGCTGGAAATAACTGGTTTTAGCTGGTCTCCCAGCCTGGCCAGGCTGGTCAGGCTGGTTTTAGCTGGTTGGTCAGGTGGCCTTCACCTAAAACCAGTTAAGACCAGCCAGCCTGACCAGCTAAAACCAGCCAAGACCAGCCAGCCTGACCAGCTAAGACCAGCTAAAACCTGCCTGACCAGCTAAAAAAGTGGTCAAAACCCCTCTAAAACCAGTCTGATAAACCAGCTATGACCAGGCTGGGAGACCAGCTAAAACCAGCCTGACCAGTTTAGGCTGGTTTTAGCTGTTTTTTTCTGCAGGGTTTTCTTTGTATGCGATTGATACAGAGTAGCAATTTGACAATTTCATGATAAATATGTAAATGAAAGATTGCTCTGATCTGTCACGTATTAAGCACCATTCAGACTACACAATTTTTTTGTCGGTTACGACAGTCACTGTGTCAGATTATGCGATTTTGACTCATAAAATCTTGTCGTGTCGTGAACAAGAAACATGTCAGACTATACGATGCTACCCGACCATTCATCGTATGCCGTCATTAACAACGTGCGTGCTGTCATCAATAGCGTGAGACAAGACAGAAGGTGCTATGAGCGTTGTCACGAATCCGGTCTATGAACTTCCGTTCACTCACCACCAGAGGTCACCCGCTCACTACATGGACTCTCACACTACACAGACTGTTACACTATACCCTGGACTACATTTCCCATCATCCATTGCACTGATTGCACACAGCTGTAACCAATCACACGCTCACCTGAAAGCTATTACACACACTATATAACACCCACTCAGATCCTGCTCAAGTTGCAGAGCATTGTCTGCGTTTATCGCTCTCCAAGTGATAGCACTTTACGGAGCCATTTCCCTGTCTTAGTTTCTAGTTCATAGTCTAGTCTTGCCTTGCCTGGCCTGTTTTCCTGTGAGAAGATCTTTGCCTGTGTATTACGGATTACCCTTTTTGTCTAGCCCTCTGGATTCTGTTTGTCTATCGAAGACCCATGCTTGTCCTAGGATTACTCTTTGTCTTGCACCTGTTTGCCATTGTTTGACCCATGCCTGTTATGACCACACCTCTTAATAAAAGCATGCACATGGATCCGTTCGCTTCACGTCTCTGTCGCCCCGTAACAAGCGTAAACAAACAATGGCTAGCAAACAGTGTGTTTTGCCCTGTCTTGTCATAAGAAAAGCCCAAAAAAGAAAGAACCTGACAATGGACACAAATCTGGATGGCATGGACTGTCAAAGAGAACTGAGGTGAAATTGTTTTTATTTTACCTTTTTTCACTGTGTCGCGGTAGTCCCTTATCATAAACGCAGGAGTATTGTTGCCGTAGCTCCACGAACATTTTCCTCCATTGTAAAATTACACCTAGCAGGACCGATACCATTGTCTCCCTTTCGTTTCGGCACGTTTGAAAGCTTGTACAAACACTGTAAAAAAAGTCAACTAAAAATACTTTGTTACCCCACTTCCTAAAAATTGTTATCTTGACAATATATTTCTTTTTGAAACAACTTGCCATTAGAGTGGAATTAGTCCAGGTAATAAATTTGTTCAAGTTGACTTGACTATTTCCTAGTCCAGTCAACCTAAATCATGTCAACTGGGATTTTTTTTTATTTTATTTTTTTACTTTAATCAATAAAGGTAAGCAAATGTTAGTTACCCCACTGCCTTAAAATTAAATAAATACGACAACTTTAAAAAAATTTTTTAATTTATTTAATGAGACGACACTTTCATTGACATTTAAATTGAACAAGCAATTTACTGTCAACACATCAACTGCCAATTGGGTAACACTTTATTTCGATAGTCCACTTTAGACATTCTATTAACAGTAAGTAACTTTGCAACTACATGTCAACTAGCAGTTAGTAGAGTATTAGTAGACTGTCTTCTTAATATCTTCTAACACTTTCTTTGTCAACTTATTCTACTAACCCTAAACCTACCCTAACAGTCTACTCTGAGAGTTAGTAGACATGTAGTTGCAAATTAATGAGAATTAGTTGACATGTAGTTACAAAGTTTTTTATAGTTAGTAGAATGTCTAAAGTGGACTATCGAAATAAAGTGTAACCGACAATTGAAAAAAAAAATTGCAAAATACAAACACACACGTCTAAAGATCTGAACCGACGTGTGTTGTATAATAAATAATCTTGGCATGGGATTGAGAAACATAAATAGTTGCATTTCAATTCGTCACATCAAAACAACAGGGATTATTTTAAATTTCATACCTCAATATGACAAGTCAGAAGGTTAAACACTACATATTAACCCTGCACAAGTTTACATGCACTCCCCCCACCATAGTGCAAGTTATTGGTCAAAATGAGAAACCAAGATATTATATAATACATGTATATATAAGGCAAAAGCAATCACATTTAGTTACAAAAAAAATGAGTGTACTGTACTTTTGTATAATAAAATATGAATGGAATGCACATGGAAGCACAAAGGTCTGATTCTAAAATTCATAGCGCAACATGACCAGACAGAAATGTAAACATCAGAAGGATCTTGAAAGTTTCCAAACTCTCCCCCATCATAATGCAATTTAGTGGTCATAAAACAAGAAACGGATAGAAAGAGGAAAGCAAAAGCACTTGTCAATTTGAAGGAAAATGTGTACATTACTGTATAAGAAAATGAGACGTGAAACATTTGTTTTCATGAGGACATGCATATTCCAAGTCATAACGTGACAAACTTCAAATGTGCATTCTAAAAAGTAGTAAAAGGCTCAAAAGAACCTAAAGCTCCTTTAACAAAAAAACTACTTTTTGTGAAAGAGCTTGCTGTGGAGCCCATGAACACATCATGAACATTGGTGGGAGCAGCTGTTCGTCGTAAGTTTTTGCAGAGCCTCAAAGGTGTATTTCATG